AGAGAACAATATCAGAGTAAACGTGAGATGGGAAACAACAGAACAATATCAGGGATACACGGGAGATGTGAAACAACAGCACGATATCAGAGATACATGGGGGTTGAGAAACAACAGAGAACACTATCAGGGGCATACGTAAGATGGGAAACAACAGAACGATATCAGGGATACACGGGAGATGTGAAACAACAGCACGATATCAGAGATACATGGGGGTTGAGAAACAACAGAGAACACTATCAGGGGCATACGTAAGATGGGAAACAACAGAACGATATCAGGGATACACGGGAGATGTGAAACAACAGAAAAATATCAGGGATAAACGAGAGATGGGAAACAACAGAACAATATCAGGGGTACACAGGAGATGGGAAACAACAGAACAATATCGGGGATAAACGGGAGATGGGGAACAACAGAACAATATCAGGGATACACGGGAGATGAGAAACAAAAGAACAATATCAGGAGTACACGTGAGATCGGAAACAACAGTACAATATCAGGGATACATGGGAGATGTGAAACAACAGCACGATATCAGAGATACATGGGGGTTGAGAAACAACAGAGAACACTATCAGGGGCATACGTAAGATGGGAAACAACAGAACAATATTAGGGTACACGTGAGATGGAAAACAACAGGAAAATATCAGGGTAAACGTGAGATGGAAAACAACAGGACAATATCATGGATACACGAGAGATGGGAAACAACAGGATAATATCAGGGATACACGAGAGATGGGAAACAACAGAACAATATCAGGGATACACGAGAGATGGGAAACAACAGGTCAATATCATGGATACACGATGAGATGGGAAATAACAGGACAATATCAGGGTACACGTGAGATGGGAAACAACAGGACAATATCAGGGATACACGAGAGATGGGAAACAAAAGGACAATATCAGGGATACACGGGAGATGGGAAACAACAGAACAATATCAGGGATACACGAGAGATGGGAAACAACAAGACAATATCAGGGATACACGGGAGGTGGGAACCAACAGAACAATATCAGGGATACACGGGGTATGGGAAACAACAGGACAGTATCAGGGATACACGGGAGATTGGAAACAACAGGACAATAACAGGGATACACGAGAGATGGGAAATAACAGAACAATATCAGGGATACATGGGAGATGGGAAACAAAAGAACAATATCAGGGGTACACGGGAGATGCGAAACAACAGAACAATATCAGGGAGAACAGGAGATGGGAAACAACAGAACCATATCATGGATACACGGGGGATGGGAAATAAAAGAACAATATCAGGGTACACGGGGGATGGGAAACAACAGAAAAATATCTAGGGATACACGAGAGATGGGAAATAACAGAACAATATTAGGGATAGACGGGAGATGGGAAACAACAGAACAATATCAGGGATACACGGGGTATAAGAAACAACAGAACAATATCCGGGATACAGGAGAAATGGGAAACAAAAGAACAATATCAGGTGTAAACGGGAAATAGGAAACAACAGAAAAATATCAGGGATAAACGGAGTCTGAGAAACAACCGAAAAATACCAGGCATACACGGGAGATGGGAAACAACAGAACAATATCAGGGATAAACGGGAGATAGGAAACAATACCACAATATGAGGGATACACGGGGGATGGGAAATAAAAGAACAATTTCAGGTACAGGGGGATGGGAAACAACAGAACAATATCAGGGATACAGGAGTGATCGGAAACAACAGAACAATATCAGGGATACACAGGAGATGAGAAAAAACAGAGAACAATATCAGCGGTACTCGGAAGATGGCAAACAACAGAACGATATCAGGGATACACGGGAGATGACAAACAAAAGAAACATATCATGGATAAACGGGAGATGAGAAACAACAGAACAATATCAGGGATACACGGGACATGTGCAACAACAGAACAATATCAGGGGTACACAGGAGATGAGAAAAAACAGAGAACAATATCAGGGGTACACGGGAGATGGGAAACAACAGAACGATATTAGGGATACACGAGAGATGGGAAACAACAGAAACTTATCAGGGATAAACGGTAGATGGGAAACAACAGAACAATATCAGGAATACACGGGAGATGGGAAACAACACAACAATAGCAGGGGTACATGGGAGATGGGAATGAACAGAGAACAATATCAGGGATGCACGGGAATGGGAAACAACAGAACGATATCAGGGATACACGGGAGATGGGAAACAACAGAATGATATCAGGGGTACATGGGAGATGGGAAACAACAGAACAATATCAGGGGTACGCGGGAGATGGGAAACAACACAACAATAGCAGGGGTATACGGGGGATGGGAAACAACACAACAATAGAAGGGATAAACGGGAGATGGGAAACAACAGGACTATATCAGGGATACACGAGAGATGGGAAACAACAGAACAGTATCAAGGTACACGTGAGATGGGAAACAACAGGACAATATCAGGGAAACACGGGAGATGGGAAACAACAGAACAACATTAGGGATACACGGGAGATGGGAAATAACAGAACAATATCAGGGGTACTCGGGGTATGGGAAACAAACGAACAATATCAGGGATACACGGGAGATGGGAAACAACAGAACAATATCAGGGATACAAGGGAGATGGGAAACAACAGGACTATATCAGGGATACACGAGAGATGGGGAACAACAGAACAATATCGGGGTACACGTGAGTTTGGAAACAACAAAACAATATCAGGGATACACGGGAGATGGGAAACAACAGAACAATATCAGGGATACACGGGAGATGGGAAACAACAGGACTATATCAGGGTACACGTGAGATGGGGAACAACAGAACAATATCAGGGATACAAGGGAGATGGGAAACAACAGAACAATATCAGGGATACACGGGAGAAGGGAAACAACAGGACTATATCAGGGTACACGTGAGATGGGGAACAACAGAACAATATGATGGATACAAGGGAGATGGGAAACAACAGAACAATATCAGGGATACACGGGAGATGGGAAACAACAGAACAATATCAGAGATACACGGGAGATGGGAAACAACAGAACAATATCAGGGATAACTGGAGATGGGAAACAGCAGACCAATATCATAGATACATGGGAGATGGGGAACAAAAGAACAATATTAGGGATACATAGGAGATGGGAAACAACAGAACGATATCAGGGATAACTGGAGATGGGAAACAACAGAACAATATCAGGGATACACGGGAGATGTGAAACAACAGAACAATATCAGGGATACATGGGAGATGGGAAACAACAGAACAATATCAGGGATAACTGGAAATGGGAAACAACAGAGAACAATATAAGGGCTACACGGGAGATGGGAAACAACAGAACGATATCAGGGATGCACGGGAGATGGGAAATGAAAGAACAATATCAGGGATACACGGGAGATGGGAAACAACAGAACAATATCAGGGATACAAGGGAGATGGGAAACATCAGGACTATATCAGGGATACACGAGAGATGGGGAACAACAGAACAATATCAGGGTACACGTGAGATGGGAAACAACAGAACAATATCAGGGATACACGGGAGATGGGAAACAAGAGAACAATATCAGGGATACACGGGAGATGGGCAACAACAGAACAATATCAGGGATACAAGGGAGATGGGAAACAACAGGACTATATCAGGGATACACGAGAGATGGGGAACAACAGAACAATATCAGGGTACACGTGAGATGGGAAACAACAGAACAATATCAGGGATACACGGGAGATGGGAAACAAGAGAACAATATCAGGGATACACGGGAGATGGGAAACAACAGAACAATATCAGGGATACACGGGAGATGGGAAACAACAGGACTATATCAGGGTACACGTGAGATGGGGAACAACAGAACAATATCAGGGATACAAGGGAGATGGGAAACAACAGAACAATATCAGGGATACACGGGAGATGGGAAACAGCAGACCAATATCAGGGATACATGGGAGATGGGGAACAAAAGAACAATATTAGGTATACATGGGAGATGGGAAACAACAGAACGATATCAGGGATAACTGGAGATGGGAAACAACAGAACAATATCAGGGATACACGGGAGATGTGAAACAACAGAACAATATCAGGGATACATGGGAGATGGGAAACAACAGAACAATATCAGGGATAACTGGAGATGGGAAACAACAGAACAATATCAGGGATACAAGGGGGATGGGAAATAAAAGAACAATATCAGGGTACACGGGAGATGGGAAACAACAGAACGATATCAGGGATGCACGGGAGATGGGAAATAAAAGAACAATATCAGGGGTACACAGGAGATGGGAAATAAAAGAACAATATCAGGGGTACACAGGAGATGAGAAAAAACAGAGAACAATATCAGGGATACACGGGAGGTAGGAAACAACAGAACGATATCAGGGATGCACGGGAGATGAGAAACAACAGAAACATATCAGGGATAAACGGGAGATGGGAAACAACAGAGCGATATCAGGGAAACAAGGATTCATCAGGGTTTCATTCATTCAATCATTCATTCATTCATTCATTTATTCATTCATTCATTCAACACAATCATACAACACAACCATACTATACAACTAGACAATACAACTATACAACACAACCATACAAAGCAGCCATACAGACATACATGGACAGATGACCACCTTAACTGTGAAACAAGGACCTGACACGCTCCCTCCATAATTCTGAGGCAATTGCTCGCGTGGTCCGATTACCCATCAGTTGCGCCCAGTGACCGTGAGAGGATCCCTAGATCGTAGGTCAGAATCGAGATTCCCCCTGATTATGCTTTTTGGTCTCTTTGCATTATTTCGCACTGTTTGCATCCACCGAATCGGGGAACGTCTTAGACCAAGCTGATACACCCTGACATAACTTAAATACTGTTCAATGCGGCCTTACATTCAATTCGCACACTCTGAAAGATTGTCCTTACCTAACATCCCTGCCACCAAGAGAAGCACCGTCTTCACATCCATCTCCAAGAACTCTACAACACAGACAAAAGCTGGTTAGTGAAACTGTGTGACAAATAAAACATGTTTTATATTTACTGCACGTATTACTTACCTAGTGTTTCCTCTGCAGCATAAACGCCAGCTTCCAGCACAGACGGAGGCAGCTGCTGTTTGATTCACTCTGCGGCAGGGATGCGCCACGATGGGAAAGAGATAACAACCCAGAATTATTCACCACCGGTCATTGAAAAACACACACGATACATAACGTTGCAGGCTTGGCACTTTGTAATGTGGTTGTAATTGTGAAGAGAAATAGCAAACGTGAATACATTGGAGTCGTCACGTTACTTACTCGCACAAATTACTGGGATATAATCCATTAATTAATAACTGCATAAGCACCTTGATGATATTTGCTACATTGCATTACACAATTATCCCGCTGTCAAATAGCTGGAATATTTATTGCTTAGTGCGGCGTTTAACAACTAACAAGCAAACAAACAAACAAACAAAGTGATCAATCACCTGACTGTGCACACAACACATGCCAAGGCAACAGTGTTGCTTCCTGCAGCTTTAATGATATTGGGGTCAAAATGAAAGACAAATTTCACATATTCACGTCCCTTTCAAACTGCTGAATAAACAGACATTTCAACATAACTCGCGTGAGAAAGATACCAATCGCTAGGTAGAATTTCAATTTGTTGGAACTCGGTGCTTTTAAAGCTATCATTTTTTTTATTAATGCCTATTTTCAGCCGTATTATGTTTGACACGAGGACAGTTGAAATCACAATAGAAAGGCGAGGACAGGAGGCTCGTGGGGTGGGCGTTGAAGCTCCGGGCGTGGGTCGACCTGTGTGCAAGCCTTGGTGGCAGCAGAGATGTATCAACTCTGTATCTAAATATAAACTTTTCACTGGTGTGAACCGTGGCTGAAAAAGTGCAGGGGGAAAATAAGTCTTGCTCCAAGGCTGTACTGAAAGATAAGTGCATGGATGTGTAGTAATTCTATCCTCCTAATAGGCAAGGCTAGATATGTGGAGGACTACAGTTTCTATTAGGGACAACTGGAATTTTCTAGTCTAGGGGTCAATAACACATATGCTTGTTGGAGAGCGGAAACGTGTGGTCAGGAGACTTAGTTTAAACCTGCATACAATGTGTGTCTGACTATATATAAAAATGCGAAATCCTAAACACAAACAGATACATGGTCATCTGGCAATGCAATGCGGCACTGAACAAGAGCCCTCGCCATGCATTATAAAGACAAAATCGCGACGAAACTTGGCGCTTCAACACTTTACATGATCCCGATCGTCACATTTTGCTCGCGCAGGAGGCAAAGGCGACTCACACAGTATATATACATACAACAAAGTGTTTTTTTGTCAAATATATTCCACACAGAAATATTTTGTCAAAGTCTAAAAGCGTATTTTAAGTGTGAGAAAGTGGGAATAAATTAGAGAACATACCTGCTGACTGCTCGTGAATAAGAGTCACTTCACCACAACCGGGCTGTTCCTGTTCACAAACCGACAGTTCCTCGTATGTTCTCCGTTACGTAATGCCATTCACTTCTGACATTACACTGGCAGCTCTGCACACAGACATTATAGATTTAAATGTCACTAATGGAAACACATTATCGCTGATGAGACTTATTGACGAAGCTGTCCAGAGCATTCCATTAGTGGACAATTAGTATTGTCATGATATCATTCATGCCTACATCACCCCACAATGGAATCCCAGAAGACACTTCTTGCTTGTTTTATAGTGGACGAGTGAGTGAGTATGGTTTTACGCCGCTATTATCAATATTCCAGCAATATCATGACGGGAGACACCAGAAATGGCTTCACACATTGTACCCATGTCTGAAATCGAACCCTGGTCTTCGGCGTGACGAGCGAACGCGTTAACCAGTAGGCTACCCGGAATATGCTGTAAAACTCATACTTTGCAACATTGCTTGTTGACGTGATAAGCGTGAGTTGGATGTAAGGCTACTTTGAAGAGTACTCCAGTTATCTCCATCATCCCGAGGCAAGGGCGTTTACTTACTATAAAAGTTCAGTTTCCCCACTTGCCGAACTAGGCTGGTATTATGGAGTCACATTTTGGCTGGACTAACGAGTCTATGCATAGTCCAATCAAAATCGCGCACGAAATCCGGGTCGTAAACTGTTGTGCAGATTTCTGTTGATTGCAGGATTTGCAAAGCATGTGCACCGCCAACTCGTTGTCAGCAGATATTTTCCAAATCTTTTCATGTTTTTAATCAAGGTGCTCACGTGATTTGATGCATTTAGCGATGTATGACCCATTTTAAGACAATATAGATATTGATTATAGATCAAGTCGTCCTGACTGGGCGCCACCATTTTGTTTGAAGCAAACGCATGTGATACTAGAGGTGGAATCTGATTGGTCCATAGGAGAGGCTTAGAAGGGACGTAACTGATAATAGCCACTGGTGGCGCTACGATCGAGCCCAGTCATTCCACCCTTGTTCGGCAAGGGTGGAAACTGGACTTTAAAAGATAGTTATATCTAGCAGGACTCAGATGTTTACTACTTTGATCAAACTCAAACAGACGGCAAGGATATGGTGCTGACATACCTGCAAACATAATCATGGTGAACCGGGATTCGAACCCACGTTCATAGGTTTCTTGCATGTCCAAGGGACCGACTCTGCACAGCGTATTGCGGCGCCAAAGACGACTGGGCCACCCGTACCGCCTTGTTTTCACGAGGGCGACATTGCAGATTGCAGCAATCGGTCTTTTAGGATTCCACACCTCACATCGAGAAGAAAGAAATGCAACATCATTATTACTGCAACATCAATTATTACTTTGGTATTAATTGTCTGACGACACTGTTGAACAAATAATATCCCAAATCTTTGACATTTTAACTGTTATCAGGTAATGAGTCCTGGAGTGTCGATGGATATTAACATTAATATTTTATGATTAACATTATACACAACTGACATGGGGGGCACGGGTGGCCCAGTCGTCTAAGGCGCCGCGATTCGCTGTGCAGAGTTGCGTCCCTTGGGCACGCAAGAAACCTATGATTGTAGGTTCGAATCCCGGTTCGCCCCGATTATGTTTCTAGGTTTGTCAGCACCATACCCGTGCTCGTGGGTTTCACCGAAGTGGTCAACGTCTGAGACCTGCATCACCTCGGGCTTTCCTCCCACATTAAGCTGACACACCGCAATATAACTGGAATACCGTTAAAAGCGGCGTTCAACCCAACTCACTCACTCACTCACAACTGGCATACTAAACTACGGAGCAAAAGAAAGTTTTCACTTTAAAAATAGTTGTATAAAAAGCAAAAAGGCTTGTAAAGGTTTGAACCCCCTCAGAAAACATTCGCCCAAATGCAATATGACCACAACCACAACGCAGATTTTCGAACGCAGCTTTCCAAATCATGCATTGTTGAAAACGTGCAAAACGTGATTTTGAGACATTGGTCCAAATGCACGTGCGTGATTGTGGCATAAATACCGACGTTGTAATTGGACAGAACCGGCATCCAGTAAGCAAAAAACCACCAAGAATATGCCTAGATTTATACAAGCGCAACGAGACAGAGCGATCGGTATGGCCAATATGGGGGCTACTCAACGTCAGATAGCCAGAACGTTCAGCTATCACCATCAGCAAGTTGATAATCCGCTACCAACAGACAGGACAGACTCAAGACCGGCCAAGATCGGAGAGACCGAGAGTGGCACCACGGCCGAAAACCGCTACATCCGGCAGATTCACCTCCGAAACAGATGTGCGACGGCAACGTCAACGCCGGCAACAGCACTACTGCTAGGGAGTGCCATCAGCAGACGAACAGTCCTTCGACGACTTCGTACGGCTGGTTAATACGAGCCTACCGACCCTTCCGTGGAATGGCCTTGACCCGTCTACACCGTAAACGCAGACTGCAATGGGCACGAACTGTACGTCGGTGGCAGCGACGTGACTGGGCGAGAGTGCTCTTTACAGATGAAAGTCGGTTCTGTCTGTTCAGGAACGATGGCAGAGTTCGAGTTTTTCGTTGAATGGGAGAGCGACTGGCGCCAAATCGCATTAGAGAGTGAGTGAGTTTGGTTTTATGCCGCTTTTAGCAATATTCCAGCAATATCACGGCGGGGGACCCCAGAAATGGGCTTCACACATTGTACCCATGTCGGGATTCGAACCCGAATCTTCGGCGTGACGAGCGAAAGCTTTAACCACTAGGCTACCCGACCTGTGTCATTAATGGACTTTTCATGCACTTTTTCAATGAACTCTGATTTGTGTAAATTTTAATTTGGAGACCTTGACTTTTTCTTTGTGTATTGCGGAGAATGCAATATCGGCATTACAATGCATTTTCATTCTCGTTCATGGAAAATGATTTCTGTTTATAAATTAATCATAATAAATCTCACATATGCCTTTGGTTTTGGTGTTTGGTCAAGTGAAGTCGGTGAACACTTTCTTTTGCCCAGTTACGATTGGCACAAAACATTCAGAGTGAGTGAGTGAGTATGGTTTTACGCCGCTTTTAGCAATATTGCAACCTTTACAACGGTGGAGGACACCAGTAATGGGCTTCACAAATTGTAGCAATGTCGGGAATCGAACCCCAGTCTTTGGCCTGACGAACGAACGCTTTAACCACTAGGCTACCCGACCACCACCTTATACAGTCAGAAACGCCATTAAAGATCGTAGCGTCAATGAGCGACGACCTGAACATCCTACCGGTCCCCCGGGGAACTATGGTCTGTTATGCAGGCTAATATTGCATATTAACAACAGGAGCAGGCAAATGGTTTTGTTAGAATGCGTAAAACGTCAAAGCCAGTGAACATCAGATTATCCGACGAAACAGCGTTGAGAATTATATGAATGGGACGCTAAAAATAAGTCATGCAGATGCTCGCAAAAAATGTAAGCATATCCTGCCCTACAGGTAGCTGATACTACAGGGCAACTCAACACGTGCTTGCACAGTCGACAGTTGACACCAAGCACACAGCGTCACGTATTGATGTGCCTCGGGTGATCCCCGGGATACTTGTCAAATGTGTTCTGAATTGACATGGTTTGTGAGCCCACTTTACTTCGTTTTATCTTGTATAAGTGGAAAGGTGTTACACCTGTTCTGAAAACAAGTTTGACTGACTCTGAAATGAAATATTTGTTTAAAACCGGTGCTATAGGAACAAATGACAAGATCCAAAATGTATTGCACAGCTGTGAAGCGTTGATGAACAAGGTTACACACTGGTCCAGTACTGATTACAGACAATTGAACAGTCTCATTTAGATATGACAATATATCGTACCCAAAACA